ATTAGCGAAAAATATCTTTTTTTTCAAAAATACCAAATACTATTTATGAATTTATAATGATCACTAAAATCTTTTCCTGCTTAAGGAGTTAATATTTCCATTCAAAAATAAATTTAAATCTCTATGATAAAATTCCTGCTAATATATAAATATATAAATGATAAAATTATATATTTAAAAAAAACTTCGTTCGTGAAATCTTTATGACTTAATTTTATAATATGTAAAATATTAAAAAGGAATATGTTAAAATTGAATTGATATATTTAATATAATTATTACATTTATTTTATAGTTCTATTTTATGTTTATTTGAATATTTATTTATGTGAATTTTTTTAGATTTATTTAAACATGCATAAAAACTTAAAATGAATTAAAAAAAACAATAATAAAGATAAGAATTATTAATTGTGAATAGAATATATATCGTGTTTGAAAAAAAAAATTATAAAGAAAATCTACTTTCTAAAAAAAATATATTTGAAGTTTAACAAAATTGTATCTGTTATATATACAGTAACCAAATGTATGCAAAATGATTAAATGATATATTTTGTAACTTTAAGTATTAATAAATGTAATTATTATCTATTCGTTTTAAGAGTATAAAAATTATTAACATTACATTTATAAATTTTTCAATATTTAATTATTTATTTTTATTTATCTTTAATCAATCATATCTTCTTCAAATTAACATAAGCTATAAGGTTTCAAAGTATAGGATTTGCTGATAACCATCAAAATCTAAAAATCGTTAAATAATTATAATTATATAATCATTAATAAACATTTTTTTCTTTGATATAATTTTATAAACATTTTTATATTTATTTATATTATGTTCTTTATTATAGAGAAATGCTTAATTAAATAGAAGATATATTTATAATCATAAATTACAAAAAAATATTTAATTAATTAAAAATTTTGTTATAAATATTATAATTTTTTAAATTTTCCAAATAAAAAATTTTCTTTATAGATCAATATTAAACATTAAAAAAAAATTAATAAAATATTAAAGAATAAATGTAAAAATTATAATGAAAAGAAAAAATGAGAAATTATTTTAATATTTCAAATAATAGTATATTTTTTGATGCTATTGTTGATAAAAACTGATTATTCATAAAATAAAAAAACATATGAAATAAAAATACAATATTATATATACTTAATAAATAAATAAATAATAAAAATATTAGTTTTAAACAAAAATCGAATTTTTCAATGAAGAATCTTTTGCATTATAATAATTCGATTTTAATAATCAATTCTTAACAATGTTAAAATAAAAATTTCATTATAAACAATGTTTAATTAACTATAATATTTAATACTCTTTATAATGATGTTTTATAAATACTTTACTAATTGTAGAAATTAATCGTAGTAGCAATTAAATATATATAATATATATAACATATATTATACACAGATTACGACGTAGGACATATTTAGAAAGTTGATTATATAAAAATAAAAACAAACACAGACATTATAAAAAATTGTTGGTTAAAATTTATTAAATTATAAGCAATTTGCATTAAATAAAGCGAAGCAGATGTAGAATGAGATGGTGATTTGATGGAAATAAAATTATTTCATTTAACATAAACTTCAACTATTTATAATTTGATAAATAAACTGACATTTTTATGTATCAATTTATTATGTTTGTTTTCTCTAGAATCAACCCTCCAAAAATATGATATTCTGTATATAAATATAAGTTAAATGACAAAGATACATTCTTAATCACTTATTAATGTTAATTCTTACATAAATAAATATAATAATAATAAAATCGCAGGCAGTTAACTAATTGTTGATTCTATAATCATCAATCATACAAATTACAAAAATATTTTTTAATACAATCTTTGATATTTTTTTACAACTGTTGCTAAACCAGATTCATAAACACATTTTGTTATATAAATAATTACATATAGTAGATTAAAATAAATCACAATCTTTTTAAAATTTATCAATTTTTTAAATTTTTTAAAATCTATATTTTTATATCTTAATGAACAATGAAAACAAAACATATGTAAAACTAAAACTACTTTATCAAATTCTTTGTAATATTTATTTGAAAAATACATAAATGTACTATAAGTTTGAATTATATTCTTATAAAATATTATTTATTATAAAATATAAAAATCTCAATAAACATTTTGCAACGAAATGCAAAAAAATAATAATGCTTTTATGTATAATTATACTTAAGAAATTGCATCATTTAATTAATTTTTAGATTTTCGTACATCATGAAATAAAACCTAGTTAAAAAATTTTCATATTCTTTGTATTTATAAAAAAATCGATATTGTTTATATTTTATCTACTATAAGAAAAAAAGAAAGTCATAAGAAAATTGTGATTTGATGAGGAGAGAACATGATGCTTGCATTTGTTCAATTTAAATATTCAAGAGTGTCTTGAAGGATTTTGACAAGGTACTACAAACCAGCCATTATTTCCAGAAACTGTTGGATCCATTTGAGCATTGCTCAAAAGGACATTGTTCATTCTCTGATTTTTCATGATTTCTAATTGTCGTTTCAAATTTCGATATAGCTTTATTAGAGATTCCTATAATTGAAAAAAAATAACAATTAATTTATTATATTTAATTCTAAAAACGTTATATAAAGAAAAATTTAAATTCTATAAATATTAAATTAAAAGATATAGTATTTAAAAAATTAGAATAGTAGTTGTTAATCTTTTATTTATTACGAATCTTCAAATAATTCAAATAATTTTTTATTTTCATCGTTCAAAATTCAATTCAAAATTTAAATATATAATATACAAAAATTTGAAGATTTTAAATTTCAAATCATATGCTTTTTCTCATTACACATATGAAGATTCCGCAGGGGTTTAAGAACCGTTAAATTAAAAAATAATTTTCTTTTCTCTTTATGAAATTGTTAATATAAAATTTATTACAAAAATTATAATCTTTTCTTTTCAATTTTTTTGTTCAAAGAAAAAATAAATAAATTTTATTAATAAAAAAACTTTAGTTGTAAGTGTATTAACTTACTTTTTCATCTTCTAATTTTCTAAGTTCTTCTTGCTGTCTTAAACTATCTATTGTCAAATTTTTAAGCATTTCATTTTTATGTTGACCCAAGAGCGCTATTTCCGTTTGAACTTTCAAATATTCTTGCGCAAGTTGTTTGTGCTCCTCAAAAATTTCTTTTGATCTTTCGCAAGTTTGATCAGGTGTCAATGGTCTCAAATCCGCATCCAAAAGTCGGTAAACATTATCTAAATCTTTATCAGTAGTACTATTACCTGTTAATAAAAAATTATTACTGAAAATTAATCCCTAAGCAATTAAATTAATTATTCAAATAAATTATTTTGTTTTTAATCAAGTGAATAATATTTCCGTATAAGATTAATAAATCATAATAATAAAATCATTCATTTACAAAAAATTTATAATTTCTCAAAATTTAATTTTGATTAAATTAAAATAATTGAAATCTTATAACAAAATAAGTTTATAATAAATTGTTCAATACTTGAAAAATGATTTATATAAATGATATAAATTAAATAATATTTGATATAAATGATTATTGATAACAAATTGAAATTAAATATATTTTAGAGAAAGAGAGAAAGACATAAATTCTTTCTTTGATTCATTTATGATAACAATAACAAAATTATTAACTTTTCGTATTCACGTATTTAAATTAAATTCATTTTAAATTAATTAAAACTGATATATTTATTTTAAAAATGTTTTAATTGAAATATAGATTGTTCAAACAATATAAATAGAAAGTTTAATATGATTCTAAAACAAAAGAAACTAAAGAAACTAAGAAACTAAAACAAAAACAAAAATTGGTTTGTAAAAATGTTCATTAAAGTTTATTTTTTAACTCATAAATAATTTAATTTTGCAGACGAAGCGAGACAAAGAGAAAGCAATTTGTTTCATTTCATAAACATAAAAGTTATTATTTATAATTTGAAAAATGAATACAAAAATTAACACACATTTTGCATACCAAAATTTTTTGCTATTTGTTAATTTATTTATTTATATTAATTAATTTTTAGAATTATAATCCTTTAAATATTTATTATATTATTCCAAATATCCTATGTACATTAAATATGAATTAAATTTTATTTAATTTATCGCTTTTTAATATTATTATATCTTAAATAAAAAATATTAGTTACGTAATATTAACTTAAAATTTAAGCATAATCAATTTCTAAATATATTGTAATAATATAAATAAAATAAGATTGTACACATATAAAATTATAATTTGTGTATTTTACACTATTTGTTTATACATGTCACATTTTTTCTAAATAATCAGAAGAGATTAAATGTTATTTTTTCAGTTATGAATATCATGTAAAATGATAAAAATTCATTTATTTAAAATTTTCCTGTTCTGAGATATCTCATTCTTCAAATGAGAAAGAAAAGGAAAACAGAAAACAAAAAAAAGAAAAGCAGAACTAACGTAACAAAACCCAGCACCGCTTTAAGGTATCTGTAGCGACAATGTTTGGATATTCTTCGCACATTTCCAAATACTAAAGCCTGACGAGGCTCCGTTCATAATAGAATCAAATATCGTTCACATGAAAGATGTCACTCTTCGATTAAAAATTATCATGAATGTCACTTTTGATCCGAAAATAATTGATCACTTGTAAAACAAAAATAAAGTAGAAGGACAAAATTTAAAAAAAAAATTTTTTACAATAATAAAAATAAGAAAAAAGAAAAAGAGAAAAGATCGTCGTTCTTGGTCGATGGTGTGTCGGGAGAGCACTAAACAAACGTGCATCTATATTGGGCCTGGTGAGTCAACCACACCTGCTTCGAGGTATCCCCCACCAGACAAAACGTGCAAGTACGAGCCAAGAACTTATAGTTCTTTGGCTCTTAATTCATCTTCAGGGAAATCTAATTTTCATGTTGATATGCGGAAAATAATTAAAAAAGTATCCATTTAAAAGAAACAATAATCTATCTTACATTATTTTAGATACATATATGTTTGAATTTTGAAAACTATAATAAAATAAATAATATTTAATATAATGAAGAAAAATAATAGTTAAAAATACTAAAAAATGTATAACTTTTTTTAATAAAAATATTGAAATAAAATATGTAATTTATTTTATAATTTATTTTTTTTTAACTTATTGTTCACAATATTACTCAAAATATTCCATGTTTGGAAGTATTTGAATAATTTATTTTTTTATTTTTTACCTTATAATTTTGTACATACTATATGTATCATCTGTCTGATAGTAGAAAGAACATTTTTATTTACTTGGACTTTATAGGATGCAGCTTTTATCGTCGATAGGTGTCAATCAAGAACAGGTTCCTCAGATTAGTCGTCTGTTAAATTTAGTATACTCGCACAATGTGACTGTTTTCGCGGCCCTTTGCCAGGGTAGATTTCGCCGATCGACGAACTCTCAAAGAATTCGTCACAGTGAAATCACAACGTGCCAAGGTGCAACGTTTTAACTTCTTTCTATGACTTCGTTCTTATATTTTCCTTAAGAGAAAGCAATATTTGTAACACATGTACATATTATAAATATAAGTACAAATAATCTCTTAAATAAAACAAAAATTATGTTACATATGTACACATTATAAATACAAATAATCTCTAGCAATTTT